TAGTTAGATAGTGAAATTGTGATGCTATCGTACGTTTTAAAAACAATGGAATATTTTAAAAGAAAAGCGGCTGGGAATTAAATATGTTGAATTTGTTGCGCGATTAACTTTTTAATTTTATTTTTCACAATGGGACTTTATTTTCAATTATGTACTTTGCTTTTACGATCTTTATATCTTACACTAGACAATAGCAGATGGTGAAAATTCTCGGACAATCGAAAGTTCAATGACCGATAAACCATCGTCACGAAGCGCTGAGGACTAAGGGTGTAACTAAATGCATCGTGTTATTTACCGCATTAACATGAATGCAGAACACGCAATCATTTCTCTAATCACGAAATAAAATCACAAAAACTGGTGTAAATTTTTTTTATCTTTGATATATTTTTTAAACTTGATTAAATTTGGACGGGACAATAATTTCAATGTATTCAATTTGACTAGATAGGGATGTGATAATACAAAACAATAGTTTTCGTAGGGCTGTAGGGCGCCGTAGTTCCATTATAGTAACTATGGTGCGCTTGCGCAAGTGACGTGACGACGCCGCGTACAAAAAAGGTGAAGTTAACGCTATTATGTTGCCATATGGAAAGGATGTTGCCATAATAAAAACTATACCATTACAGTATTGTCAAAAGTACGATAGACATGTGGTAATTTTTGGGTTACAATTTAAGTTGTGAAAGTGTTACGACATAGCACAAGAGATTAGGATAAATAAAATCATACTGTAAGGGGCAAAATAGTTGGATGTTTTATACGAAACACCATTTTCATTATGCATAAACATTGGGAACGAACATGGGCGCCGGGTGATGATCTATGCTAGGTCCTGGAGGGGGCTGTACCATAATATGGTCTTATTCAAAGTAGTTTTTAAATATATTTAAAAATTTTCTAGTCTCTAAGGAGGAGTAACTGCACTGTCTTCCTTTTCTGGCGACGCACAAACAAATAGACTAATTAAAGAATTGCTTTTGTAAACTCCTGAGTTACATTTTGTAATTTGATAGTTTACGTAATGTATCACGCTAGTGGTACATTAAGTGCGAGGTGCGCTGTAACACGAGCATTTATAATTGTTGAATTTAGTGCGAAAGCAACGGATGTTGTTATCGGACTCCCCGCGATACCTGCCATCATGTAATATTTCCACTGTAACATGAGCCTCCACTTTGTTAATTACTATTCATTTACTTGGTTTTTGTAGATGTACATGATATAGTATAGTTACAAACTATAATTTTTATCTAAAACTTAATTTTGAGGACCTTAAATGCTTATGTTTCAGATAAATTTTACAATTTCATGATAAGTTAAAACGAGAAATCGATAAAAGTAACCTATAGCAGATGCAAACTCAAGTTAATTTCCCTCTTGCTAGTCGGGCAATAAAGACCCATTGAATTGGTTTTACATATTTTTAATATGAATGTTGTTAAACAATTACGATTTATTCAATAATTACTATTCATGTCAAAGGTATTAAAAAGTTACCTTTCTCTTTATAACCCTGATATTATTTACAAATGTGCAATTGTTTGACTGTTGTTTATTTCAGGTGAAGCAAAGAACTTGCCAGCTCGCAACAATGGCGCGGCCTGCCATCGAGACATATACTGTGTGCTGTCACTTGATCAAGAAGAAATATTTCGCACGTCCACCATGGAGAGAACACTTAAGTGAGTACTATAAACATTCCCCTCATGTTAGATTTGTCAGCACCCCATACACGAACTGATTCACGCACTCGGCGGTGAGATATTTGTATTCGTAAAATGCAATAAGCCGACCGCTTTAAGAAGTACGTGTATGGGTAACCCTAATTAATAGGTGACGGGTTAATGTTTAAGTAAAAATTAAATTGTTCGTTCCATTATAAGACAAATGATGTAATAGGAAAGGTATTTGTCACAAACAAAAATAAGTAAAGACGGACATCGTCTGGCAATCAGTCTCGTTCGCGTGTCCGATGATGGATGAAGGACAGCGCCTACGCGTGCCCATGACTTGTGATCATCCAGTGTAACTGGAGCTTGAGTTAGTTGACATATAGAATTACGTTTTATGCTAAGTAGCAATAAAACGGGTAGATTCAAAATTAAAAGTTGAATAAACGAAATGAAAATAAATCCGTTACCGTTTTATATTACAAATTTACCTTTCTATTTTACATGCTCTAGGATCTTAAACAAAATTTACCATAGCTTACTTTAATACGTCATTCATAAAACTAGTGGGAACCTTTTTTCAAAATAGTGTTGGCGTATGACCGGAATAACGGTCCCTTTGTCGAATATCCGGACCGGCTTCCGGTATTATCTATCGGTCGGGAGCGATCGCCGTCGTATTTAGGGAGCAAACAAATTTACTGGGTCAAGGTTCAAACGTTTATGAATGACTAAAAATTAACGTCTGTTAGTTTAAATTAAGAGCAATTACGAAGAGCACTATCGTACTATATGTGTTCAGAATTTGTTTTTGTTTCTTGCTTGCACATATTGCATTCGGTACCTAAGCGTGTGTCGGACATCATGCCCACAATTTCGAAAGACAGTGTCAACTATAGGTTCGTTTTGCTTTCGATAGCGTGATGAATACTTTATTAGGTGTCGCGGCCAGTTGCCTTATCGGGTTCGTATTTATTCATGAATGATTATGCACTACTGTTCCATTGATAGCTTGGTCGTTGCAAAAAACTTGAACGTTTATTGAATCATCTGTCTCCTTGTTATTATTGTTTTATAGCCTGTTAATATTGTAAGTTCATGCCGATAAATCTGTCATGTCTATCACGTTTGTAATGTGCTAATTATGTTTTACATTTTATCACGAGAGTTGATTTGTTAAATGGTTACTTTGTTGCCAGCCTCGCATTTGTAATGTCATGATTTGAGTAGATTGATTAGGTTAATTTTTATTGATGCCATTTACCAAATAATACTATACATACGTAGTGTCAGTACGTAAAGGATTGCTTAACACTAGTTTAATTCGCCCAAGATCCACCCTTCACTAAGAAGAAAATCGTCTATGAAAAATGTGACTGGCAGACAATGTGTAGTACATATTAAATTACAATTTTTGAGTTCGTCTTTTAGTAAAAAAAAAATAATTAGAACGGTCCACACGGTTCCTGTGAATACAGTCGGATTTAGGTGTGTCATATTCTAGGAAGCGTTCATTTAGGATATGTGAGCGCTCGCCGCATCATACTTGTGTATAAATATCTAACGTGCTTAGTGCACGTTTTGTAAACAGGATAATACGCCGTCCCTTTGTTATACAAAGCAGAAGGCCGAGCGGCTTGATGGTAAGTGATACACTTCGCTAACCCATGCTAAAATGTATTGCATGAATAGGCGAATATCTACCATCGGCGCATAATTTACACTGCAATGCAAATACATTGCTACAAAGACGGTGTCATTCAATTTGCAATAGCAGCAGTTTTAAAATAGGTTGTTATCACATTCTAACCACACGTGTCTTTAATAATAACCGTAATAGATGCATTCATCACCCTAAGAAATTGCGTTGTCCTATCTGAATAGAACCCTTTCTGTCCGGTCTAGTATTTCGACATCATTGCGCACAATTAAAGCGTTAACTGCGACATCATTAATTAGTTGTAATCGACAAAGTAACGTGGGAGTCGCCTGTTTCGGGATTAGGAAAGGGGAGGTTTCATTGTGCGAGCAAGCGCTGCGGTGCGCCGCGTCCCGGATGCATTTCCGGTGCGCGCGCGTTGCTACTGCCGCCGGCGCGGAACGGCCCTTCCGCCCCAACCCTCCGCTCCTCCACCAAAGGTATTCAATGAAATACCGCAACCGCTTCAAACGTTTCAATACGCGTAAAGTATTTTTCTTGGAATAAATAGGGGATTTATAGAGATATTTTTGAATAAGCTTTTATAACAGTAGGAAAGCGTTTTAGGGTCGCGGTCGTTCCACCATCGTCACTAGATCTACGACATTATCGCGCAGGAAAGGGAAGGGTTATTATTTGTTAGTCGAGCGATCGGAACGGAAGCGAGATAATGATTTTAGTGACCCCAGAGGTGAGCAGGACGCGATGGCGGATATCGAAGGAAATGTCTCGTCACTCGCCCGCCGGACCACTTAATGGGTTCTTTGTCTCACGATACCTTATCGCCGCGTGTCTGCTCCAAACTATCTGTGTACTTAGGGCAGATAGGCCGCACGCACACGCGCATCCGTTCACACAATCACGCCACGTTTGTGTACATATTTACTCTCTACAAAGAAGCCGTTATTACGTCATTAAATAGTAATCAGACAGAAGTAAAAATAATTACATTATTGACACGTTAATGCCAACATTAATGTTTTATAGGCTGATAAAACAGCAATAAGAAAAACAAATGAGTTTAACCCCCGTATAGCACCGCGCGGCGTCATCCTTAACCACCAGATAAATACCAACAAATAACATACATTTAATTGGCAATATTCTTTACACCTGAAGTTTTAAAACTGTTACATTGATGTTTGTTAAAAGCTTCTGAAAACCCAAATCTTGCTTTAAAAGGGAAGTAAGGCAAGATTGCCAAAATGACAACAAAGTTATAACTGATAAAGTACTTAAAATGGTATGTTATTAGGTGCTGACAAAGCGTTAATTCGAGTGACCAAATATGGCCTATAATTATTAACCAAAATACTTTCTGGAGCGCTCTAGTGGGTATCACTAGTGTATTTTATGTAATCTTTCTGCTAACAACTTATAAATATAAAGTATTTCTGATGAAAAGCATAAAAAGCGCTTCCGTTCAGACGATCTATCCTTCAGGTGTAAATCGTTCGTAAATCTCGCGGCGGCGCGGCGCGGGCGCGACGTCGGGCGGAAGCTTTCAAGTGATAAATTGTCGGCGGAACCTCGTATAGTGGCGCGTAAAATGATCATCGCCCGACTTGAAATAGGGCACGGACGGCGGCGGCGCGCCGACGAGATGTAAGTGCGGGTGCTGCGTGTATGTAACACGTCTGTCTATAGCTAGGGCCGGCTACACACGACCGGCTATTACGACCACTGCCTACGCACAGTGTAGGTGTGGCCGCTCCAATTATCCCAATAGGCTATTTAAAAATGTCCGTCAAGAGCGACCCGGTGAATCATTCGGCTCACACCACTTGAAACAGATTTTGTCCTGTAGTTTGTAGTTACATGTCCACTCGTTTTGTAATAGTTTTATTATAGTACTGCCATTGAATTGAAATTTAACTGACGGTTTTGTTTCGATTTTATTTGTCAATATTTATTTAGGTTAGTGATACCTACTAATTTAATAATTAGTGTATAGTGTGAAGGCGTCGTATTAGCACAGCACCGCCCCCGCACTGTTGACGGCAGCAACTCCGCCCCCGTTTTATAAATATACCAAGTTGACGCCGGATGTAGTCAACAGCTTGTACTTGACGCCGTTTGACTGTCGGTGACACTGTGACGATGACATGCTATGCAAACACTCAAAAACAATTTATTTTGATAGTGATTGAAAGAACTTATTTTCTAATACATTGATAACTCCTTATAGATTAGGAAAAGAAATTAGGCGTAGTATATTTAAGAGGTCCTCCATATCTCCTATTGTCCGTTGTAACTTAGATTAAATTCCTTACTTATATGCCTTTTTTTTAACATATTTGCAGTTAGAAAAAAAGCACAAAGTTTTACATACGTTATCATTCGTTATTTTTATGAAAAGTTATATGCCATCGTTTCAACAAACACTTTTGAAAGTACACTATTGTCTATAATCTTATCGATTCATGTCCTTTATCTTTTTCTTCCGCTGTTGAATGCTAAGTAAGATAACAATACATGTGTGTATGTCTATTACATGATGGTAAATGCATCATCATGCATTAATTATTTTTCGGTCGGCAGCGGCAATGTAATCGAACGGAAGGATATTTTTTTATCAACGCATCGTATAAGCATATCAAATAAACAAAGTTGATTGATGATGGCGTTACAGGAACCGGCCGCGTGTTCGTTTTATAAAGACAATGTCGAGATATTATGTTAAAACATCCTTTGCATTATGAGCATATGCATTATAAATATACTATTTTTGTTGTAAATATTAACGTAATAGTTAAGAGATAAAATTAACCTGTTTTCACACTTTCGACTCGCTTTATCACTGTTTACGAACGCGGTTAAGTCACTATTTGAGAGTATTATTTGCTCATGGGTTAGTTGTTCGTTTTTCTGGTTGTTTTATCTTGACAAATAAATATGAATGTATAAGTTAATTTCGGCACCTGAATATATTAAAGGGCTTATTTAGAATAGTCGCATATAAGTTATCATTGTAAACGTAGATCTAAATGTTACAATGCTAGCACATGAACTGTTATGTTTACTGCTTCAGCAACAGTAGTCAATGTGTGGTGAGCCTTATTAATGATTCCTTAACCTCATATTCGTGCTATAAGCACAATATCCGGCGGCCGCGCGCTGTACACATTCATAACATCATTTCCAAGAATGGAGAAAGAAGCCATGTCATAAAGCCCGGTATGCTCAATGTAAACAAACCGTCCCGCATTATTGCGCTTTGTATGAAACTGTTTTTCTTATAACAGATATTGTGCATTAGTTAATTTGATACCGACTAATTTTGTTATTGTCTATAACTTTCACTATTATCGTACGTATGTAAAACCTCTGCTTCATAATCAGGAGATTAAACTTATCAAGTTTATAAATACTGAACATTATTACAACGTTATTTCTTTTTTTTT